GCCTTGAGGCAAGAGCAAGACCCCGTCTCTACTAAAATGAAAGGGAAATTAATTGGCCAACTCAAAATTATAGAAAATATAACGGGGGGTATGGTGGGCACCATGCCTGTAGTCTCGAGTACTCTGGCGAAGGCTGAGGCAGGAAGGATCACTTGAGCCCAGAAGTTTGAGGTGGGGTGCTGTTGAGCTAGAACTGAAGCACATAGCACTCCTCTAGCCTGGCAACAGGAGTGAGACTCTGTCTACAGAAAAAAAAGATGAGAGAGTGAAAATAAGATTGTCCATTCTAATAACAATGACTTAGCATCATACACAGACAAAGACCAGGAAAAGGAGAAAATGGAAATGTCAGTGGGCTCCATGTAATTAGTATTGGTGTGCATTTAGCCCCCCGCTTTGCTGGTCCCGCTCGCTCTCTCTGCTCTCTCGCTCTCTCTCATAGCGAGAAGTTAATCTATAGAATGTATGTCAACCAAGCATTATATAGGGTGTATTAAACTGGACTGGGGACTACACCGGGAATAATAACTATCACCAACCCTAAAACAAGTGTGAAGCTCGCACCTGACATAACAGCTTGTGGGCAAGGAATTAAGTGACCATGATAGCGCGATATGTCATGCCGACATAGTCTTCTGACTTCCCCAACTTCTTATAATGATAGATCTTGTATCTGTCCCTTACACACGCAATGTCACAATATCCTCTATCTATTCACTGTCTAGTTGGTCCTTGGAGTATTCTAGGCTTCTTTTTCATTGCCTGTCTATAGCGCATTTTACATCTTCCTTACAAAAGAGAGATCAATAGTCACGACCCTGTGGCCACATCTTGATTTTAGGGCCAAAGAGGAGTATATGCCTTAGAGGTGGTGCAGAGTAACAAGGCATATGTCCTAGCAGCAGATGACAGGATAGGATAGTAGCATTGCTACTCACTAGCTTTATGATCCTGGATAGGATACCTTTTCGTGTCTCATTTCTTCATCTGCAAAGTGATGATTAATAATGAATACTTGGCCATTATGTTTAATGTGGGATTAAAGAGTTAATTCCTAAAAATTGCTTAGAAGAGCACCTGGAATTATTTACTGTTACTTGATGCTATGTAAGGGGTCCATTTTATACCATTACTTTGATACCAGAGACAGAGGAGAATCTGTACAAGTAATTTTATCTGGGTTACAGCATCATGTTATTTAGTCCTTAAGTCAGGGATATGTTAAAGTCTTCGTTTTGAAATCACATTTATTTCATCTGTCTTATGTGTGTGTGTACAGGTTTCTGTGGACGATCGCCTTAAACAGCTTCAGGAGCCCAGCGATTTCGGCCATCTCTCAGCATTTTCTTTCTAGTAAGTCTAATAAACTTGACTGATTGCATTGATGTAAACGCATATGCTCTCACTTTTATTTAAGAACTATTCTTTGCTATAAAATATTTGCTTATATCAAATGTTATAAAAGGAGATAGTCATATTCATTTAATATCGCTTTTCTATTATTATTATAATGACAATTGATAAGTTTTTTGAATGGGACAGAAATGAATTTGTCTTTATGGTTTTTCACTGGACCATCTCTTATGGTAATCATTATATATCATATGATTATTATTTTGTCATAGGCAAGGGTTATGAACTTTTTCATAATGAAATCATTTTATATTTTAAGTTTTAAATTAATTTTCTCCTTCAAAAGTGCTTATTAGTTTAAAAGGCACCTGCAGTTTTCTCTTTTTTATTTTTTATAGATACATAATATTTTATATATTTAGGGGTACATGTATTTGTTGCATGCATAAAAGTGTTTAGTGATCAAGTCAGGACCTTTGGGGTATCCATCATCTTGAGTGTTTATCATTTCTGTGTGTTGGAAGCACTCTAGTCCTCTCTTCCG